TAAATGTTTATTATTCATGCTAGAATTGTATTAACTGGAAACTTGATACATGTGTGGATACATAGACAAAGCACTGTGTCGCTAGTAAGCCTCTACTAGACTAGCTCGTTAATCAAAGATGGTTAAGTTTTCTAACCATAGACATGTGTTGTCATTTGATGAATAGGATCACATCATTAGGAGAATGATGTGATGGACATGACCCATCCTTTAGCTTAGCATTTTGATCGTTCAGTTTTATTGCTATTGCTTTCTTCAGGTCGATTACATGTTCCTCCGACTACGAGATTATGCAACTCCCGGATACCGAAGGATGCCTTGTGTGCTATCAAACGTCACAACATAACTGGGTGATTATAAAGATGCCCTATAGGTATCTTCGAAGGTGTCTGTTGGGTTGACATCGATCGAGATTAGGATTTGTCACTCCGAGTATCAGAGAGGTTATCTCTGGGCCCTCTCGGTAATACACATCATAAGAAGCCTTGCAAGTAAAGTGACTAATGAGTTAGTTGCGGAATGATGTATTACGGAATGAGTAAAGAGACTTTACAGTAACGAGATTGAACTAGGTATGAAGATACCGATGATCGAATCTCGGGCAAGTAACATACCGATGACGAAGGGAACAACGTAAGTTGTCATTAGGGTTTGACCGATAAAGATCTTCGTAGAATATGTAGGAGCCAATATGAGCATTCAGGTTCCATTATTGGTTATTGGCCGGAGGGGTGTCTCGGTCATGTCTACATAGTTCTCGAACCCGTAGGGTCCGCACGATTAACGTTCGATGACGATTTTATATTGTATGAGTTATGTGATTTGGTGACCGAATGTATTTCGGAGTCCCGTATGAGATCACGGACATGACGAGGAGTCTCGAAATGGTCGAGAGGTAAAGATTCATATATAGGACGATGATATTCGGACACTGGAAGTGCTCCGGGGGTACCAGGTACTTATCGGTTCACCGGAAAGGAGTTTCGGGTACCCCCGACAAAGATATGGGCTTAATGGGCCAAGTGAGGGAACACACCAGTCTACAAGGGGTTGGTGCGCCCCCTATAGGGCCAGCCATATGGGGAGGAAAGGAAAGGAGAGGAGGAGAAGGAAAGTATGAAGTAGGACTCCTACTTCCTTCCCCTCCCCCCTCCTTCCTTTCCCCCTTGTCCAATAAAAGGAAGGGGGGAGGCCGAATTGGAGGAGGCCCCCAAATAGGATTCCTTCTACTTGGGGCGCTCCTTGGTGCTCCACTCCCCCTCCCACCTATATATATATGGGGGGGCACCGCTAGAACACACAATATTGATTCCTAGCCGTGTGCGGCGCCCCCCTCCATGGTTTACGCCTCCGGTCATATTCCCGTAGTGCTTTCCCGTAGTGCTTAGGCGAAGCCCTGCGCGGATCACTTCCCCATCAACGTCACCACGCGGTCGTGCTGGCGGAACTCATCTACTTCCTCGATGCTCTACTGGATCAAGAGTTCGTGGGACGTCATCGAGCTGAACGTGTGCAGAACTCGGAGGTGCCGTACGTTTGGTACTTGATCGGTCGGAACGAGAAGAAATTCGACTACATCAACTGCGTTGTCAAACGCTTTCGTTGTCGGTCTATGAGGGTACGTAGACACACTCTCCTCATCTCGTTGATATGCATCTCCTAGATAGATCTTGCGTGATCGTAGGAAATTTTTGAAATTGCAAGCTATGTTCCCAACAGTTAGAACTCAAGGGAGCGGCTTCACTATAAACAAAAGCACCTGACCATGTGTGGGAATAAGTAAGGGAGATTGAGCGGCTTCCTTAGGAGAGTCTTCTTGGTTGTGTCCTGCATCTTGGCATCTCACCAATCTGGCCATCAATGGAGGTCAAAGGCAGCGGAGGGATGGAGGGAGGGCGCAGCCAAGGGAGGATGGCCAACATTGGAGCAGAGCGGAAGAATGTGGAGAGACCTGCACCGCTCTTGAGATTGATCCCAAAATTCATGGATTATTTTTTGGTTGACGTGTAGATTGCATGTTGAGAGAATGCCGACATGGCATCATGCTGATGTGGAGATTATGCATGTTGAGAAAATTAATAGTGATGGGATCAACTTCTTAAGAATGTAAGATGTAAAATAAGAGGGAAGTTCAGATATTGGATTGGTAAACAATCTGGGAGAAGAAATTTGGCATGCTAGGGAGTGCAGCGAATAAGTAATTTCACCGGAGCCGGGATGTACCGGTGTTGGATCCACTGTCCATCGGTTACATCAAGATCCGTGCAGTCCGACCCAGTATAACACAATAATTCATTCCAGCAAGTATACTTTGTAATACGGTCTGAGACAAAACAATGAATAGCAGCTTTTTGCAGAGAAGAGAGAGAGAGAGTTAGAATTGAGAGATGCACGCTGCATGCATTCTCTCTCCATACAAATGACATGTACTTAATTTCATCCTTAAATTTTAAATGATTGATATTTGTTAAGTGAAATGTCCATTTTTTAAACTTTTTATATATTTGGAATCGTGGTGACTGGATCTTTAGAACAAGATCAATCTTGGATATATTTGAAATACTTTTTATTTTATGTATTTCAGTTATCTTTGAAATGACTTTCACAAAGCATAAAATTGTTTCGCTTTGAAAAAATATTTCCTATATTTGAAACAATCAGTTTCACTCCTCGCAAAAAAAGAAATAATCAGTTTCACACACGCAACAATCTATTTCACATAGTCAAAATAACCAGTTTCACATATTTAAAAAATGGACCTAAATTGTTGCATAAAACTCACTTGACTCATTTCAAAATATAATTTCACTCATTTCAAAAAACTTATTTCAATCCTTAAGAGATCGATTCCACAGGTTTTGCCATAAAAACTTGATTTCGGTCATTTTGATTTACTGATTTCAATTACTTCAAAAACATATTTCAATTATTTCCAAAAACAATTTCACTCGCTTCATAAAACATATTTTGCTCATTTCAAAAAAAAAATTGAAATAATCAGTTTCACATGTTTGAAATAACTAGTTTAATTTTTTTGAAATAACTAGTTTCACGTATTTCACACCAAAAAAATGTGGCATGTGTATTTGAAAGGATTTCACTCATCTTAAAATTTTGGTTTTATTTATTTCAAAAAACTAATTTCACTTACATAATTAGCTTTCACTCAATTTAGAGAAACACATTACACTCACTCAATTGTAATAATATGTTTCGCTCGTTTCAAAGAACAGATTTCACTCATTCGAAAAGATAGATTTCACACATTTCACTAGTTTCAGAAAACAAATTACACTCACTCATTTGAAATAAGTGAAATTTAAATTTTGATATGATTGAAATAGAAAAACTTAAACTAGTTTAAATATATTCAGAATTGGTCTCGTTCTATAGATCACATGTTTAGGAATTTGAATATATAAAAAATTTCAATAATAGAAAATTAGTGTTAGAGATATTGTCCATCTAAAATTTTAAACAAAGATAAAATGGATGAATTTGTGTGTGACACAGATGAGAGATTCTGCATGCATGCATGCGTACCGTGTTCCTGTGAAAAGGTACTACATCATTCTGACATTGATTAGACTAAAATTAGAAATACAAGAGATTTTTTGCAATGAATACTTTCATATACACATGCACATGGTCCCACAACTTTAGATCTGGCAGCACCTCATTGGTGGGAAGATAACCTGTAGCTCCCAGTTTGGTAAAAAACACTTTGCGGGGAGTGCAACTTTTCGGTGCCATCTGCATTCGGTCAGAAAAAAATCACAAAAATCAGAAAATTCCAAAAAAATTATTTGCATGGTAGAAATTTAGTACGCGAGGTCCGCTCCAATTTTCAAATCATCTGGACATATGGGAAGAAATTTGGCATGCTAGGGAGTGCAGCTTTTCGGTGCCCGGACTCATTTGCACCCGGTTAGAAAAAAAATCACAAAAATTCCAAAAAAATGCATGGTAGAAACTTTAGTACGTGAGGTCCGCTCCAATTTTCAAATCAGCGGACCTCACACATCAAATTATCTACCATGCAATTTTTTGATGTTTTTTGAATTTTCTAGTATTTATTTTGAATTTTTTTCGTCGGCGTGGATGAAGATGAGTCTAGGCTCAGAAGTGGATTTCCACATGCTAGGAGGCTTCTTACTGTAAATAGGATTTAGAAGGAAGAGAGAGAGGAGTAGGGCGTTTCGATGTCCAGACTCTTCTGCACCCGGTTAGAAAAAAATTCGTAAAAAATTCAAACAAGATTCAAAAAATTCCAATAAAAAAATGTGCGGTAGAAAATTTGATGCATGAGGCCCTCTCCAAATTTCAAGTCATTTGGACCTTTGAGCAGCTCTCAGTAAAAAAGACAAATCGGACCAAAACAGTACATGAACAGTGAATATTTTTACATACCCCCAATTTGTCTTTTTTTCTGAGAGCTCATCAGATGTCCAAATAATTTGAAAATTGGAGCGGCCCTCACGCATCAAATTTTCTACCTCACAACAAAATTGGAATTTTTTAATTTTTCTAATATTTGTTTTAATTTTTTTCGTCAGCGTGGATGCACGTGAGCTCGGGTGCAGAGATGGATTTTCGGAGAGAGAGTTTTTTCTTTTCTCGAAAAGAGAGAGCGAGGTTTACTGCGAATGGTTACTCTTGATTAATCCAAGCCACTGGAGTACCCCTATTTAGTTTGAAATTCTGAAAAGGCTGTAAGAAATTCAGAACCAGAATGTGATCAACAGTTTACTGACGAGGAAGCAGGCTGTAAGAAATTCAGAACCAGAATGTGATCAACAGTTTGTGATAAATCAATAATGTTTATATGGGTTTGGAATTCCTGACAGAGATTCTAGTGGCGCAAATAATATTTGCCTATACAAACTATAGAAAATGAAAAAGAAGGACAATCCCTTCAACTTATGAATATACTAGGTTTTCAAATGAATCAAAGAATTATCAAAACAACTAAACCTCAATGTAACAATCTTCTTTCTTCTCTACTCGTTGCTTGCAGAAGCAACATGGCCTTCCTCGCTTGGCCCGGCGCCGCCCTCCGGCCCAGGCCGGATCTCCTCGAGCTGCCGCAGCACCTCCCGCGCCTCGGGCCTGGCCGACGGCGAGACCTCGACGCACTGCAGCGCGAGCTTGAGCGTGTCCATGAGCTCGTCCCCCTCCGGGCCGGCGGCCGTGTCCCGCATCAGCTCCAGGTCGAACACCTCGTTCGTCCACTCCTCCTTCACGATGGACCCCACCCACTGCGGCAGGTCCATGCCGTTGGTCGTGTCGGCGGGGGACTTGCCGGTGAGGAGCTCCAGGATGATCACGCCGAGGCTGTACACGTCCGTCTTGCCGCTGGCCTTCTTGAGCTTGGACAGCTCCGGCGCGCGGTACCCCAGCGCGCCCGCCGCGGCGAGCACGCTCGAGTTGGCGGCGGCCGTCATGAGGCGGGACAGGCCGATGTCGGCGATCTTGGGGCTGGAGTCGTCGTCGAGGAGGACGTTGCTGCCGGTGAGGTTGCCGTGGAGGATGTTCATGTCGTCGTGGAGGTAGGCGAGCCCGCGGGCCGTCCCCTTGGCGATCGCCATCCGCGTCGCCCAGTCCACCGGCGTGTTCGGAGCTCGAGCTGAACCAACGCCATGAACCAAATGTCAGAACTCAGAACCACAGAGTTGAATCCAGCTTCAATGGAAGAACAATTTTTAAGGAGGGGATCTCACCGTGCAAGAAGGCGGAGAGGCTGCCCTTGGGAATGTAATCGAAGACGAGCAGCTTCTCCCCCTTGGGGCCGAGGTAGTAGGCTCTGAGCGAGAGCAGGTTGGGGTGCCGGACCTTGCCGAGCGCCGCCGCCTCCGCCTCGAACTCCTTCTGCCCCTTGGTGATCTTCTCCCGCAGCCGCTTCACGGCCACCAGGCTGCCGTCCTCCAGCGTCGCCTTGTACACCGTGCCGTACGTGCTCTTCCCCATGATCTCCGCGGTGGCGCACAGCAGGTCGTCGGCCGTGAACGCCAGCGGCCCGTCGAAGTGCACCAGCTTGCCTCCCACGTCGCCGCCGGACTCCGCCTCGGACGCCCCCGGCTTCTCGCCTCGCCCGGCAGCTGCAGCGGCGCCGGCGCCGGCGGCGTCCTTGCTTGACGACTGCTTCCCGCTCCGTGCTCCGGTGCTAGTGCCGGACTTCTTCTTCCTTGTCAATAAGCAGAGCAGGAGGCAGCAGAGCGACAGCAAGATGAGGACGCCGATCACGATCCCGGCGATGATCAGTGCGAGCTCCTTGGTGCTGAACTTGCGGAGGCCGTGGCGCCCGGCTGCCCCCTGCGAGGTTGATGCCGGCGCCGGAGACGGAGACACGGGACAGGGCGGCGAGGAAGCAGAGTAGCCGCAGAGCAGTATGTTACCGGCGAAGGAGGTGGGCCCAAACTTCTGGGCGAGCGAGGCCGGCACCGCGCCGGAGAGGTTGTTGTACGAGACGTTGAAGGACTGGAGCGTTGCGGTGAGGTTTGCAAGGCTCTCCGGGATCTCTCCGGCGAGCGCGTTGCCCGAGAGGTCGAGCGTCTTGAGGTCGTGAAGCGACCCCAGCTGGGCAGGGATGGAGCCGTTGAGGTTGTTGCCGTCCAGGTGAACCTCCTGCAGCTTGCTGAGCCCGGCGAGCGACTCCGGCACCGGCCCGTCGAGCGAGTTGTGCGCGAGGCTGAGGAAGACGAGCTGGTAGCTCCCGGTGACGGCTTCTTTCCGCGAGGACGAGGACGGCGCCTTGGAGCCACCCCCGAAAGAGTCGGGGATGCGGCCGGAGAGCTTGTTGTATGAGAGGTCGAGGAAGAGGAGCGACGAGGAGCCGACGACCTCCGCGGGGACCTCGCCGGAGATGGCGTTGCGGCTTAGGTTGAGGCGGATGAGCTTGGTGGAGTTGGCAATCGAGGCCGGGAGGACGCCGGTGAGGAGATTACTGCTGGCGTCGAAAGACTGCAGCGCGAGGCAGCGGCCGATCTCCGGCGGGACGGCGCCGGAGAAGCGGTTGTTGAAGAGGTAGAGGCCGCGGAGGTCGGGGAGGAAGCCGAGCGAGCTCGGGACGGCCCCGGCGATGGCGTTGTCGTGGAGGCTGAGGCGGCGGAGCCGGGTGAGCTGGCCGAGCCCCCGCGCGGAGAGGGTGCCGGCGAGGCCGCGCCAGGGGAGCGTGATGGCGACGACGTTGCCGTTGACGCACTTGATCCCCGTCCAGGCGCCCGAGCAGGCGCCGCCGAGGCCGGTGGCGTTCCAGGAGCGGAGGAAGCCGCGGGGGTCGGAGAGGTCCCCCTTGATGGCCTGCAGGCCCTGCCGGTCCGCCTCGCTGATCACGACGCCGTCCCCGGCGGGATGGTGGCCGTGGGCAGCGGCCGCCGGCGACGGGAAGAGAAGTGAAACGCAGCAGCAGTGCAGGACGAGCAGCAGGGCGGCCGCGCGGTTACTGCCGAGCCGCAGCGGCATGGTGCCGGCCGGTCTGTAGACGAACGGAAGCAGGAGCAGGGAGGCTATGGAGTCCGGGAGAGACGCTGCGGTGGCGAGGGGGGAGGAGTGAGGGAGGGGGCGGGCTCGTAGGTAGGTAAGGTGGGGGAGTGTGGTGCGGTGGTGGTGTCATAAATGTGGCGCGCCCGCGAGCGATTCCTGGCGCGGCAGAGATGGGCGCGGGGAAGAAGACGAGGGCGCGCACGAGGCCGCCAACGGCTAGTAGAGGCAGGAGGGGAGCACGAGCTAATGGATGGGTTGATTCCCTCCCAACGGCTAGTTTCAGATTAACTCGTTCAGGATGCAAAGTGTACACGATGTCTGCGGAGCAACGACACGTCTGCGGCCCGTCCCGCATCGTCCCGCGTTTGCTAATAGCAGCATTAGAGCATCTACAATCCGACTGAACTAATTTGACCTCCTATACGTCGACGCGTCCATGGACATCGCCATGTCAGGGGCATATTCAAAGCTGACAATCCAAAGCTAGCCGCGTATGTCCGGTTTAGATTTCAAATGAACAAAAACCGAACAATTTTTTTACATAATAAAATCGGATGCTTTTCATCTGAATCGGAGCAAATTCGTTACATTTAGACATTTTTCAACTAGATCGGACACTAAAACTAGACTAAAATGACCGTCGGCGCCCGTTCCATATTCCGGCCAGCCATGAGCCCCGGAAAATGAACCCCCGCCCCCTCCGAGGCCCCTCCGTTGACATGTCTTCCCCGTGTTCGGGAGCCCGCTCGTCGGACTGCCGGATACCCTGAAGGGTTATGCTTCAGCGAGAGGAGAAGAACAACCTCCGCTTCTTCCGTACCTTCCTTATGTCCGGTTGCGCCACTCATCGGAGCGGCCTCCTCTTCCGTGAAGCACGGATCCTGGTTGGTTTTGGGGGTGGGGGGCGACGGTGGCTTGCGAAGTGGGGCACACCGGCAACGCGCTGACGGTGGCCTTCGTGGGACCCAAATGGCGGCGGCCTCCAATGATCCACTTTTTCTCGTTGTCGGCGGTGACCGTGGATGTGTTGGCCGCCTCGTTGATCTCCACGATGTCGACTTCTTTCTCCGTCGGCAGGGCGCGGTTCCGCGCACGTTGACGGTGAATGCCGCGGGAGGAGCGGTACGACCCCGCATCATCCAGTAGCATATTTGCCCGTGCCGCCGTGCTCCTCCGCGAGCTGGTTTGCAGCAGCGACTTGCTTAACCACACGCCACATGGAGCGGCCACTTGTTCCTCTGCGCGCCAGCCTACAACCTTGCCCATGGTACTGACGGCCTTGAGCGGCTTGGGAGGTCGAGCAGCGAGTTGCCTAGCCCGTATTCCTGTGGGCCACCCAGCTGGCTTTTATGATGGAGAACCCCTCTTCCTGCTCGTCGGGTGCCATGGACAGTGTGGAGAATATGATGCAAGGAGGAGATGGAGAGCGAAGGTGTGGTGCACTTCTTTCTTGGTGTCTGGCCTCATTTTAATAGCCAGTGGACGTGAGAAGGCAATCGATGTTATGTTTAATGTCGATCGACCCGCTAACGAACGTGTGGTTAGAGTAGGTTTTTCGGCACACGTGCGGCTTTAATGAATGCATGCGAGGAGGTGTTTTTAGCCGGGCAGGCGAGGGGCGTGTTCAGCCGGGCGTGCATCGGGAGGTGTTCTCACGGTCGGCTCGCGAACGAACGTGTGGTCGAAGTAGGTTTCTCGGCACACGTGCGACTTTAATGAATGCAGGCGAGGAGGCGTGTTCAACCGAGCATGCCGCGAGCGGCACTCTCACGGCCGACGCGCCGCTTCAATGTAGGCACCAGTAAGAGGTCGCGTCCACTTTGGGCCGACATTGTGGAACAATTTTATAAATTCACGATGTTTTTTTGCTTTGTATATAAACATTTCTTGAATTGTACAAAAAAAATCAAATGGATGAACTTTATTTGAATCCATGAAAATTTTTAAAAAATTTGTGTACAATTTTTTAAATCCTTGAATATTTCTTGAATTTTGTGAACATATTTTGAATTCACAAACATTCTTTCAAATTCACAAACATTTTTATTTCCCAAACAATTTTAGGAAATCGCGAGTACTTTTGAATACATGAACATTTTAATACAAAATCACAAACATTTTTTTATTCATGAACATGTTTTGAATTCCCGAACAATTTTTAGAAATTCACAAATAATTTTTAAAATTGTGACATTGTTTTGAAACTCGTGATCATTTTTTTGAAACAACGAGCATTTTTTGAGATGCATGGATATTTTTTCTAATTCATGAACATGTTTTGGATCAGCGATCATTTTTTTAATTTGCAAACATTTTTTTCACAATCATGAACAACTTTTGATTTCCTGAACATTTTTTTAAAGAGAGAACAAGTTTTTAACATGCCAACATCTTTCAAAATCACAAACATTTTTAAATCCATGAACATTCTTTCATAACTCGTATTTTTTAGAAATTTGAATTTTTATGAGATTACGTATTATTTGAATATAATAATAAAATAAAAATGAAATGAAAAACAGAAGACATCCTAAGCCGCACATGGGCTGGCCCAAAAGGGTGCGCGATGGGTAGGCGGGGTGCACATTGGCTCGTTCACCAGTGGGAACGCTAAATACAAGGCATCGTGGAGAGGTTAGTTACTCCCTTTATCCATTACATGTCAGAGCAATAATATATGACATGTAAATTACACAAATCATACTGTCAAATTCGTATGTGAAAGGAGTTTCCAATGTTATAATTTTCACATTATACATGTCATATACTATTCACCTTATCAATAGTCAAAGACATTTCGAAAAACGCATTAGGCCCTATATATATATATGGATGGAGTAGGAATATTACGTAAAGAGCAATTCCCTAAAAAAAACATAAAGAGCACAGCATTTACGTAGGTGTAGCATTTTTTGCCTTCTTTAACTGCAAAAATTTGCCAAAGTCTGCTGGAGCTACTTGTGTCCCTCCATTATTTGCATGGGCCGTTTAGTCATGCATCTCTCCGATCTTAAAGGTCGCCTCAAAGTTCCATCCCAATGGACACCAACACCAACATCCTTCCCCGGGAGTGATATAATCTTTACAGGAGTTCCAGATTATAAAAAAATTAGAACAAGGGCTGACACTGGCTTCCTACCAATCGCATTCGGCACACAGTCGCCGCTGCCTTCCCAGGGCTGCCCTTTTCTGATCGCCATGGTCCCAATTGCACAGTCCCGGCCTCCCTGTCCCACCTCGCACTCCTTCGACCTCCTCGCGACGCCGCGCCCTTCTGTCCCTTCTCTGGTTGACATGAAGCTCGCCGCACCTTCCTCAACCTTCACCAACCGCATGTCCACCTCCCACTGCTCCCGCCACGAAGAAGCCACGCGACCAGGAAGGACGACACAAAGTAGTCGGAGCAGTGTCAATGCTGCCATCACTGTAGCTGGTCAGCGAGGACCCCGTTGTCACCCATCAGATCATGATGCCCTCCTCGTAACATAACGACCGCCCGCTCACCATGGCACCATTACAAAGAAGAGGCGGGGCTCAAAGGCGGTGGTGCGCTGTTGAAAGGTGCTGGCAGCAACAACCGAGTGTGCGAAGGAGCAAATGTGCGGGTGCGGGAGGAAGAAAAGAAGGAGAAAAAACTTTGACCAGCGTGCGAAAAATTTGCCACCAAAATTGTTGAGGTAAATCTTTCACCAGAAATCCTCACAAGAACACCTTGCATCCTTGAAATGATGAAACCGATACAAATCTCGCACAACGATCTCCCTATCTGTGGCTCGGCTTACATACTTGATTGCTTCATGGCAGTCTACACAAATACGCAGGTTCTTGAAGATTCGAAGTGGAGTCCCACTGGGAGTGCTGATGATCCCAAACGCCATGGCAAGCTTCTCACTGTGGAACCTCAGAGCTGTCTCCCTCTGTTCCTCCTCCACATCATGAGCAACAAGATCAATTCTACTGGTGTACCCCAGTTCCTTTATTCTCTCCATCGACTTTGCCAAGCAGGTATAAATTTCAGATGATCTCGGGTGTGCCGTGTCCCCCGCGACAAAAGTATGCACAATGTTCTTCAGATGGATCCAGGATTGTCCGGGTTGCTTTCGAACCCCCCTTTCCCGCATCAAACTTCTGAGCTTCGAAGTATCACGCCATTTGCTGTGAGTGGCATACATGTTTGACAGCATAACATATGACCCAGCATCACATTGCTCCAGTTGAATCAAACTTTCAGAAGCAAGTTTTGCATGCTCCATGTCCTTGTGAACACGACAAGCTGACAGTAATGTCTTCCAGACAATAGATTCATGCTTAATCTTGTTTTCGTTGATGAAGTTATTTGCTTTGTTGAGCAGTCCAGCTCGACCATAAAGATCAACCATGCAATTGTAATGTTCAATGCTCGGAACAATTCCATACTCTTCTTGCATTAGCTTGAAGAAGTGCTCTCCTTCACTGACCAATCTGCCATGGCTACAGGCAGATAGAACACCGACGAGGGTGACCTCATTTGGTTTGATCTTTTCTGCAATCATCCTGTTGAAGAGTTCTATGGCCATCCTACCTTTCCCATGGGACGCATAGGAGCACAGCATTGAAGTCCAGAGAGCAACGTTCTTCATGGGAGCTCTGTCAAACATCCTGCAAGCGTCGTCAAGGTTGCCACACTTAGCATACATGTCGACGAAGGTAGATGCCAATGGTGCATCAAAACTGTGCCCTAGCTTCTCGACACATCCATGCACTTGCCTACCTTGCTCAACCATCCCTGCATTTGCACACGCTGCAACTGCACTGGTGAGGGTGAACTGATCTGCAGCAACCCCTTGACGCAGCATCAACCGGAAGAACTCAAAAGCTTCTTCCTCCCTGCCATTCTGGACGTATCCAGCGACCATTGTGCTCCATGCAAATTTCATGTCGCCGGTAAGATGCGACCATCTATCAAAGATCAACACGGCAGCCTCCATTGAGCCGCACTTGCAGTACATGTCCATGAGAGAGCTCCGAACAAATGCGTCAGTCTCCAGTGCAGCTGTCAGCACACGGCCATGGAGCTGCCGGCCGAGGTCTAGCAAAGAAAGCATGCCAGCCAAGGCAAGCGCCGTGGAGTATGTGTAGTGATTAAACTCCACTCCAGCTCGTGCCATATGATAAAGGCGGTCCAGCGCCTTGGCAGCGCACCGATTCCGCATCAAGCCGCTGATGATTGTGTTCCAGCTTGAAGTGTCTCGCATCGGCGACTCATCAAACAGCTGCACCGACCCAAGAACGTCGCCGCTCTGCAGACACGCGCTGATCACGATATTCCAGGAGACGACGTCAACCTCGGCCATGGCTCTGAATGCCCGCTTAGTCCCCTCGCAGTCCCCGCACTTGGCGTACATGTCGAGAACGGCGTTACACAGCACCCGGTCCAGATGCACCCCGTTCCTCAGCAGCCATCCATGGATGCGCTTGCCCGACTCCACGTCGCCGAGGCCCGAGCAGCACCTGAGGACGGCGGCGAGAACAAACGCGTTCGGCGCGGTTCCGCCCTCGGCGAGCATCTCCGCGAACGCGCCCATGCCGTCCGCGTGCCGGCCGGCGCGCGCACAGCCAGCGATGGCCGCCGTCCACGCGGCCGCGCTCCTCTTGGGCGTTTCGTCGAGCACCCCGCGTGCATCGTGGAAGTGGGAGCCTCTCACGCAGGGGCTCGGAACGGGGAAGCGCTCGCGGGGAGTCCGGACCAGTCCTGCCTCGGGCGCGCTCGCGGGAAGGGACTGGAGACGCCGGAGGGGCGGCGGGGAGGAGGGAGACGAGGAAGTCGGCGGCGATGGCAGTGCGGTGGAGCGAGGTGAGATAGTCGGCGGCGATAGCAGCGCGGCCGCAGCTCTCCTAGCCGCGTGCCGCATGAATCGGCTGGCCGCTGGTGTAGTAGCCTCGGAGGCGAGGCCGCGAGGCGAGGGATGGCGCGCGCGCGTGGAGGCGGAGGCGGAGGCGGAGGCGAGCGCCGGGTTGGAGGGAGGAAGGGCGCTGGGGAAAGACGGATGTTACTTTGTTTGATTTGTATGCACACTGTAATATTCAAATACAGTGCACAAAAATCAAACAAAGCACACTCATAGGGATCATCATTTACGTAAACACAAGTGCATATTTACCATTAACCAACCGCTTACAAGAAACAACTCTAGTCATTTCATTCAATAAGAGGCCAATGCTAAATACCAGTGCTTTCCCATGGTAGTACAAGAAAGATGGATGCATAACATACAACTAAGAGCATCTCCAGCTGTTGGCCCCCAGGCGGTTCGAAAAGTTGCCGCCTGGGGGCGAACCGGCGCTAAAATAGGCCTGGGGCGATCGGGTTCCTAGCCGATGCCCCCAGTGTCGGCCCCAGGCGTCTGGTTTTTCATTTTTTGAACATTTATTTGTCTAAAATTCAGCGAACGGGGCAAATATTCGGTGAAACAGTACATAATCTCGGCGAACTGAAATAGTTTTTTTACATAGATAAAATACTTAAAAAACAAACAGTCCGCGAAATAACGCGCTGAGAGAGGCGAGGTCGCCATCGCTGCCGACGTCGCCGCCGTTGTCGTCGTACTTCGACTCCTTCACGCAGACGCCACTGCTGGACCCCTGCCCGGGGTCGCCCTGGCGGACCGGCGGCGTCGTCGCTATCGTCGTCGAGGACGACGACGCCTCCCTCGTCGTGGCCACGGCACCGAGCGGCGAACTGCTCAAAGGCGCGGCGCTGGCGCTCCAGCTCCGTCCGCGCCCAATCTTCGCACGCCCACTTCAATGCCGCCACATCGTCGAGCCCTGGCTCCGTCTTCACGATGGCGAGCCCCGGCTCCGTCTTCGGCTTGACGAAGCGGGAAGGAGCCGGAGAGGAGGCACGCCCGCCCTCGTTGATGACGATGCCGGCGCTGCGGGTGCGCCGGCCGAGCGGAGTCTCGGCGGTCTCCGCGGGCTCGGCCTTGACGCCGAACAAAGCCGACGAGCCGGAGGAGCAGGAGGAGGAAGAAGAGGAGCCAACCCTCCTCGGCATTGTTGAAATGTGAGATGGGCCTAGAGCCCATATGACAATTTCAGATTTGATCTCTAAGGGCCCATGTAGGTGGCATGACAAGGTGGTGGGAAGTTTAGTCCCACCATGCTAGTGGAAGAGAAGTTGGAGTGGTTTATAAGGGTGGCTCTTCTACATGCTATTGGAGCTTGAGAAGAGAAGAGGCCCTCGCGCGCTCCTCCTCCGCCGCCCGCCTCGCCACGCCTCGCCTCGCCTCGCCTCGTCACGACGCGCCGCGGGTTGCAGGAATGAGCCGAGCCGAGCTCACACCTATGCGCTTATTTTTGCCAGTCACTAACGGAGAGGTTCTGACAACAGGGCCACGATCTGAGACGTCGGATCATGGGCTGTCACGGACTCGGACGTGGGTCAAGCCCACGTCTCTCCACGCGGCTGCGTCTATATAAGTGTGGTGTGTCCCCTAACCCTAGCCGCCACGAACAGATCACATCTGCTCACGCACACGCCCGTCGTCGTTCCTTTGCTGCTGCTGGCGCCGGTGATTCCGTCCCGTCCGCCGCGTACACGGTCGACGGGAGAGCAGGTCTCCGAAACCACGCCCTTCTGGTTCCTGTACGGGGTGAGGGGCGAAAAGGTTTTTGGGCAGCGATTACGTGACTGCTCGCTTCCGATCGTCTACCTCCTCTACGTCCGCGTCGCCTTCGTCGTCACCATGTCCACCGACACCGACCGTGCCGCCGCCGAGAAAGCTGAAGCCGACAAGAAGGCCGCCGAGGACGCCGCTGCTGCCACCAAAGCCGCGGCCTCTACATGGCCTACTGGAGGGTATAACTCGTTCATCCCACTCCTGATTATTTTCATATTAGCAGTACTAGCAGTATGTGTAGATCTGTCTACTGTTTGCTTAGTACGTGCATGTTTAGATCAAAGTCAGTACGTCATCAACTTAGTCAATGCCATGCTAGTGATTTACTCGTGGATTATTTAATCGAGAAATTGCCTATTTACTCAACAATCCAAAAACCTATTATGTGTAGGAATTTTTCGGCAAGTGGCTTTGCCGCTGCACTGAAACCGGATAAGTTTACCGGTACGTATTTTAAGCGTTGGCAGACAAAGACCACTTTATGGCTCACGGCTATGAACGTGTTCTGGGTCACCGGTGTGTCCACGGGAACGATTGCTCCTGAACAGGAGAAGGCGTTCAGGGAGGCAACCACTGTGTTTCTCGGAGCAGTTCTTAGCGTGATCGGAGATAAACTAGTCGACGCATATTTACATGTGCATGTCGCCAAGGACTTGTGGGAGGCGCTCGAATCTAAGTTCGGGGCCGCCGATGTAGGGAGCGAGATGTATATTATAGAGCAGTTCCACGATTACAAGATGGTTGAGAACCGTCCTGTACTGGAGCAGACTTATGAGATAATATGCATTGTTAAGGAGCTTGAGCTTCTGAAGTGCGAGTTACCGGGCAAGTTTGTCGCGGGCTGCATAATCGCTAAGCTCCCCAATTCCTGGAGGAACTTTGCCACCACTCTGAAACATCAGAGGCGTGAATTCTCTGTGGAGGATGTCATTGGCCATCTGAGTGTTGAGCAGAATTCGAGGGCAAAGGACTCGCACGGAAAAGGGGCCGAAGGGACTTCTGTTGCCAACATGGTGAACCAGAAGGACTTCAACTCCCACAAGCCCAAGGGAAAGAACGGTGTCCAACACAATACCGACTTTAAGAAGAAGGGTAAGAAGACCTTCAAGAAGAACAAGAAGGACGAGGGCTGCTTTACTTGTGGTTCGATTGAACATTGGGCCAACAAGTGCCCAAACAAGTACAAGAAGCCAGGATAGGAATCCAAGTCTGTCAACATGATTGTGGGCAACAATGAGAATGGTGCATCTGGGTACGGTAATTTATTTACTGTTTTTTCAGTGTTTCAACCCAACGATTGGTGGGTGGACACAGGTGCAGGTGTTCATGTGTGTGCTGACATTTCATTGTTCACTTCTTACCAGGTCACAGGTCACGGGTCTGTATTGATGGGGAATGGAGCGAGTGCTTCTGTTCATGGTGTTGGCATGGTCGATCTGAAGTTTACTTCGGGAAGGATCGTGCAGCTGAAGAACGGGCAGCATGTCCCTGCCATCAAGAAGAACCTCGTTACTGGCTCCCTTCTATGTAGAGAAGGGTTTAAGTTGGTTTTCGAGTCTAATAAATTAGTTGTTACAAAATATGGACTCTTTGTTGGAAAAGGTTATGAGAGCGGAGGGATGTTATGCCTTTCCCTCGCAGATTTTTGTAATAAAGTCGTGAACCATATTCATTCGAATGTTAATGAATCTGAAGTTTGGCATTCACGTCTTTGTCACATTAGTTTTGGTGTTATGACGCGGCTAGCCAAGTTGGATTTAATCCCGAGTTTCACCTTAGCCAAAGGTTCTAAGTGCCTTTCATGTGTGCAAGCTAAGCAACCTCGCAAGCCTCATAAGGCCGTGGAGGAGAGACACCTGGCACCATTAGAACTCATACATTCTGATCTTTGTGAGATGAATGGTGTGTTGACTAAATGTGGAAAGAGATACTTCATGACATTGATAGATGATTCCACTAGATATTGCTATGTTTTTCTGTTAAGTACTAAGGATGAGGCTCTACACTACTTTAAAATCTATAAGGCAGAAGTTGAGAATCAACTTGAAAAGAAAATTAAACGAGTCCGGTCAGATTGTGGTGGAGAGTACTTCTCGAGTGAGTTTGATTCCTTCTGTGCGGAACATGGCATTATTCATGAGAGGACGCCTCCCTATTCATCCTAGTCAAATGGGGTTGCCGAGCGAAAAAACCGTACTCTAACTGATTTGGTTAACGCCATGTTAGATACATCGGGTTTATCCAAGGCATGGTGGGGGGAGGCTATATTGACGGCATGTCATGTCCTGAATAAAGTTCCGACAAAGGATAATGAGATCACTTCCTATGAGAAATGGGCAAAGAGAAGGACAACACTCTCGTACTTGCGTACTTGGGGCTGTTTGGCGAAAGTCAATGTGCCGATCCCCAAAAAGCGTAAGCTTGGACCCAAGACTGTGGACTGCATTAATTTGGGCTACACTAAGAACAGCGTTGGCTATAGATTTCTAGTAGTGAAATATGAGGTACCTGACCAGAAGGTCGGTACAATTATGGAGTCTAAGGATGCTACATTCTTCGAGGATATTTTCCTATGAGAGATATGCAAAGCACTTCTAGACAGGAATCTGAGGAGACTCCTGAACCTGCCATCCCTATGGAATATTATGAACAAACACATGATGAAAATCCTGAGGAGGATGACGAGGAAACCCTTGGTAGGGGCAAGAGACAAAGAACTGTAAAGACCTTTGGTGATGATTTCTTCGTGTACCTCGTGGATGATACTCCCACTTCTATTTCAGAAGCGTATGCCTCTCCAGAAGCTGACTACTGGAAGGATGCGGTCCGTAGCGAGATGGATTCCATCATGGCTAACGGGACATGGGAGATCACTGAGCGTTCCTATGGTTGCAAACCATTGGGATGTAAGTGGGTGTTCAAGAAAAAGCTTAGGCCCGATGGTACGATTGAAAAGTACAAGGCTAGGCTTGTGGCCAAGGGCTATGACCAGAAAGAAGAGGAAGATTTCTTCGATACTTATTCACCTGTGGCTAGACTGACCACCATTCGAGTATTACTCTCGTTGGCGGCCTCACATGGTCTTCTCGTCCATCAAATGGATGTTAAGACGGCTTTTCTGAATGGAGAGCTAAATGAGGAAATCTACATGCAACAGCTAGATGGCTTTGTGATAGATGGTCAGGAAAGAAAGGTGTGTAGGTTGCTGAAATCTTTATATGGCCTGAAGCAAG